TCCCGGGGGCCTAGCCCGGGCCGCGGCCCCGTGGGGGAGGCGGGGCGCGTCCTGCCAGCCTCGCGGGCACGGGGCCTTGGGGGGGCGAGGAGGTGATCGGGGTCCCCGGCTCCATTACCACGGAGGGGTCTCGCGGTCCCCGGCTGCAGCCAATGAGGTGTCAGCTCCGGGAAGGGGTCCCCGGCTCTGGCCAATGGAGGGGGGCGCGCGGCCCACAGTTTGGCCAATGGGGAGGGAGGGACTTGGAGCGGGTTGCTCCCTCCCCCTTCCCGGTCTGGCCAGTAAGAGGGGAGCCGAGTGGGCGGGGGCGCGGAAGGAGGGACGGCGGGGCGGACTGCGGGCTGGGAACCTCCGGCGCGCGCGCGCCCTTGGCCTACGTGCGCGCGGATGCTCCGTCTTGTGACCCGGGCATATCCGCGTCCCGGTCGCGCGTCGGGCTGGGGCCGGTAGTGTGCATGGAAAGGTGCGTCCGGTGTTGGCGGGCGAGGAGCGCACAGTTCCGTGGGGTGGTGTGTCAATGCGATTGCGAGCGGCGGTGCACACGCAGGCGCAGTGGGTCGTTTTCGCGGGAGGGGGGGGGTTGAAGAGGCCCCCGTGGGCTTTAGTGCGCAGGCGCAGACCGGGCGAGGCCTCCCGGTGGATGGCTTTTGCGGCTGCGCTGTCCCCCGGCCCCGCCAACGGCCCCCTCGCCGCCCTCCTCAACCGCCGGTTACATCAGCCATCGAGGAGCAGTGTTACCTGGCGATTGGTGACCCCTGCAGTGTGGGTAACAGGCTGAATGAATAATGACGGTGAAAGGGTGGAGTGTGGAGGGAAATACCCCTCCTCTCAGGGTTGAGGACCTAAGGTTGCCGAAAATGGTTTGTTCCTTTTAGGAGGTAATGTGCCTGAGCTAAGTAGCTGTGCATCTGCACCTCTGAGCTTTTCACCTTCCCGGTCCGGAGCGGGTTACTGCTTCTTAGAAGACTGTGGCATCGGTCCGTAGAAACAGTCAACCCTGGCCCGTTGAAGAAAGTGAGCAGGCTGTTGTATTGGCTTTTAGAGCAATTGACAGCCATTTGTTGGTTTAGGGTGTTTTTTTTTTTAAACTGTCATTTGTAGGAAATGTTTTATCATTTAATGCCCAATCCTTCATTTACATGAGAGATTGGAAACCTTATTGACTAAACAACTTCATGATAAGTGCTTTTGGGATTTACCATTAATGACCTTTTTTTTTTTTCCTTACAGGGGACAGAGCACAGGAAAGGGACCCCCACAGTCACCTGTGAGTGCCTTTTTTTCTGCTTGTATAAAATGCGAAGAACTAAATAACATTCATATGGATATATAAGGCATGCTAGATGCAGTGATAGACAAATGGGCTAACAAGAATTGTGGTTCAGCCTGACAAGGGAGCTGTGAGTGGTCGTTTAGAAAGTTGGCTTTTGCTGGCTGCTTCTTTATTTCCTCTCCATCTGATGTTACCGACAGGTGTTTGAAGGTGTCTATAATAATTCCAGGATGCTGCATTTCCTGACAGCTGTGGTGGTAAGTGAGGACTTTAATCCCTAGGGTGATTGAGGAATGAGATCCATGAGATTTTTGGAGTCTTCTCACCCTTCCCACCCTCCTAGGGCTCCACTTGTGATGTAAAGGTGAAGAATGGCACTACCTATGAAGGCATTTTCAAGACTCTGAGCTCAAAGGTCAGTTTACTCAAGTTGGCTTGTTTTTGGACTTGCATGGAAGAGGAGAGTGAAACCAAAGATGTATTAAAGAAAAACTATCAGACAATACTTTTATCATTTTTGTAGACCTTAAGTTTTTTAGTTAAAATTTTAAGTTTGAGATTTTTTTTTTCTTTTTTCCTAAGCCCTGTAGTTTAGTGGCGCACACAGGGCATGTGAGAATGTAGTATTGGGAAAGATTTAGAAAGGGTAAAAGGGAAATGATCGTAGTTTTGCATTTATATTTCTTAATACTGACCTATGTTTGTTGGGCAATGTTGCTTTTGTAGTTTGAGCTGGCAGTAGATGCTGTGCACCGGAAAGCATCTGAGCCAGCCGGTGGCCCTCGTCGTGAGGACATTGTAGACACCATGGTGTTTAAGCCAAGTGATGTCATGCTTGTCCACTTCCGAAACGTTGACTTCAATTATGCTACTAAAGGTATTGTGCTAGGCTGTGGTGACAGATCAACTCTGTGGGTAGAGGGAAGTCTTTTTTTTTTTTGGCCGTGGGGCTAGAACTCTGGGTTGGGTGCTGTCCCTGCACTCTTCGGCTCAAGGCAAGCGGTCTACCGCTTTGAGCCACAGCACCACTTCAGGTTGTCTTGTGGCTAATTGAAGTTAAAGAGTCTCATGGACTTTCCTTTCAGATCAGGCTTTGAACTGCAATCTTCAGATCTCAACCTCCTGAGTAGCTAGGATTACAGGCGAGAGCCACCAGTACCTGGCTGAATCTGGTGTTTTTTTGTTTTGTTTTTGGTCATCGTGGGACCTGGGAGCTGTCCCTCAGCTCTTCAGCTCAAGGTGCTCACTCGACCACATGAGCCATGGTACCACTTCCAGTTTTCTGGTGGCTTATTAGAGATAGATAAGAGTCTCTTTCCTGCCCCAACTGGCTTTGAACTGTGATCCTCAAATCTCAGCTTCCTGAGTAGCTAGGATTACAGGCATGAGCCACTGCTGCCTGGCCCTGGGTTTTTTGTTTGTCTTTGTTGTTTTTTTTTGGGGGGGGTCAGTTGTTGGGCTTGAACTCTGGGCCTAGGCACTGTCCCTGAGCTCTTCATTTCAAGGCGAGCACTCTACTACTTGAGCCACAGTGCCCCTTCCTGCTTTTTTCTTTTTGCTTATGTGGTGCTGAGGAATCGAACCCAGAGCCTCATGTATGCAAGGCAAGTGCTCTACCACTGAGCCACTCTCCCAGCCCCCTGTTTTTGTTTCTTAACTACTTATGGGAGTGTTGTTGGAGTGAGACTGAGAGGCAAGAAAGCTGTCAGGTGCCACCTGACTTCTGATTATCTACTCTGCTCCACAGACAAGTTCACTGATTCAGCCATTGCTATGAACTCAAAGGTGAACGGCGAGCACAAAGAGAAGGTGCTTCAGCGCTGGGAGGGTGGTGACAGCAACAGCGATGACTATGATCTCGAGTCTGACATGGTATAGTCTCTCTTCCTGAGCAACGGGGTAGCCAGAGTATGGGGGTTGTTGGCAGTGAGATTCCTTCTTTGTACCAGGTGTTGATTGTTAGAAACGAGGAGGAGGGGAATACTGTTGCCTGTTTATAGTGCTCAAATACAAAAGTTGAGGAAATATTAAAACAAAGCTTATCAGTGTACTAATTGGGAGTTGATATTTGCTTTGTGACTTTTTTTAAAAATTTAAATCAGTACTACAGGTTTAAAAAGTGCTTCTATATAGGCCCATTTCTTTTCTTAAAAACAACTACTTTTGACATTTTTCGGTATTCGTTTGCAGAAAATTTTGCTTTCCTTGCCTTGTTGAGCTTTTCATGTTATACATGGAACTAGTTTGTTTCTTTTAATTATGAATACACACCAAATTGTATTTATTCTTTGCCTTTTTTTTTTTTTTTTTGGTCGTTCATGGGGCTTGAACTCTGGGCCTGAGTGCTGTCCCTCAGCTGTTCAGCTCAAGGCTCTACCACTTGAGCCACAGTGCCACTCCTGTTTTTCTGAGATAAGAGTTTCACGGGTTTTCCTGCTCGGGCTGGTTTTGAACCGTGATCCTCAGATCTCAGCCTCCTGAGTAGCTAGGATTATAGGCATGAGCTACCGGCACCCAGCTTGTCCTCTGCCTTTTTGATGTGTTTTGTTACCATTATTTTGGTATTTATAGAAGTCTCACAAGCCCAGGTATAGTGTTGCACACTTGTGGGTTTTTGTTGTTTTTGTTTTTTGCTGGTCCCGGGACTTGAACTCTGTCCTGAGCTTTGTCCCTGAGCTTCTTTGTGCTCAAGGCTAGTGTTCTACCACTTGAGTTACAGTGCTACTTCCATCTCTTTCTAAGTAGTTTATAGAAAATAAGAGTCCCACAGACTCACTGAAGCCGTAATCCTTAGGTCTCAATCTTGTGAGTAGCTAGGATTATAGGTGTGAGCCACTAGCATCTGGCTTGGTGGTACACTTCTAATTGCAGTACCTGGAAAGCAAAGGCAGGAGGGCAGCTTAGGTTATGTAGAGCTCCAGCTTGGCCTAAGTTGTATAACAGCAAAACCCTAAGTCAAAAACCAAATAGGTAAATAAGTAAAATTTAATAAATATTGCTATTTTAGAACCATATAAAGTTGCTTAGGCCTTACACCTAGAAATGGGTTTGTTAGGTCCTAGGCCTTCAAACTTCAAGTTTGTGCTACTCATTGGCAGTTCAACTTGATATTGCTCGGGGTTTGGTTCACACTTAAAGTTTTCAATGTGATGGAAGTAAATTGCTTGTCAAATATTCCTTTCCTTTCGGATTTTAAACGTTCTCCATTTTCCCCTCCTTAGTCCAATGGATGGGACCCCAATGAAATGTTCAAATTCAATGAGGAGAACTATGGAGTGAAGACCACCTACGACAGCAGTCTCTCCTCTTACACGTAAGTGTCTTGGCATTCCTCAGTGGGGCATTGGAGGGTGTGCTTACCAATAGAGAGGGTAAATTGCTAGGTAGAATGTAATTCTTTTTTTTTTTTTTTTTTTTGTCCAGTCTTGGGCTTGAACTCAGTGCCTGGACACTGTCCCTGAGCTTCTTTTGCTCAAGACTAACACTCTAGCACTCTACCACTTGAGCCACAGCACCACTTCTGGCTTTTTCTGTGGTACTGAGGAATCAAACTCAGGGCTTCATCTATGCTATGCAGGCAAGCACTTTACCACTAAGCCACATTCCCAGTATATAGTTTTTCTGCATGCTTTTATGGGTATACAAGGAACTCTTCCCCTCACTCCTGGTCTGCATTGCGACTTGCCTCCCTCAAAGACATTGATCAAGGTACTTTATGCTTATAAACTAACGTTGAATTAACACCCCTTTATACAACTACTTAAAAGATCATTTTTAAAAGATATAAATAAAAACAAAAAAGATTTTCTGACTAGGCCACACTGTGGATAGTGACTTGTTTTCTGTTTCCCTGTATTTTTTCCCTCGTATTTATGCATTGTGAACTTTACATTCAGATATATCTTGGTGCTTTACCCTGGGACTTAGTAGATGTTAAATATATGTTGGCTGGGCTAGGGGTGTGGCTCAAGTTAGAGTGCCTCCTTGGCAAGCACAAGACCCTGAATTCACACCCAGGAGCACTGTGTGAGTGAATATATGAATATGCTAACTACGCTAGGGCAGAGTACTTGCCTAACACTTGTGAGGCTCTGAGTTTGATTCCTAGCACTGGAAAAGAAAAAAAAATTGTTGAAGAAATTAAACACTGATATATCTGTATCTGTGGGCTTGTTACAATTGCTGATAATGGATGTTCTTTCAGGGTGCCCTTAGAAAAAGACAACTCAGAAGAGTTCCGTCAGCGGGAGCTGCGTGCAGCCCAACTGGCTCGAGAAATTGAATCGAGTCCCCAGTATCGCCTACGGATCGCCATGGAAAATGAGGATGGGCGCACAGAGGAAGAAAAGCATAGTGCAGTCCAGCGGCAGGGGTCAGGGCGGGAGAGCCCCAGCCTGGCATCCAGGTAATGCATTTGGGCATCTGGAGCTGTTTGGTTCTCACAGTGGGGTCCAACGACTTGGCTAGCCTGTTGAGCTTTCTCTCTCCCCCATCCCCCCAATCCTGGGGCTTGAACTTGGGGTTTGAGCACTGCCAGTGTGATTGTGTCAGGGTTGATGCAATGTAATAATATCCCAAGCTTGAAACCACAGTACATTGAAGTGGGACAGAACTTCAGGTGGGATAGTGAAAGTAGCCAGAGTGAGGAGTGTGCGCGCTGTGTTGCCAAAAATGTGCATTTTATAGCCACTTTTGTCCTTACTTGAACCTTTCTTCAGGGAGGGGAAGTATATCCCTTTGCCTCAACGAGTTCGGGAAGGTCCCCGGGGAGGAGTTCGGTGTAGCAGTTCTCGAGGTGGTCGGCCTGGCCTTAGCTCACTGCCACCTCGTGGTCCTCATCACCTAGACAACAGCAGCCCCGGCCCAGGGTCTGAGACTCGTGGTATCAATGGAGGTGAGTTCTGAACCACACTTGGCATAAACAAAGGAGGACAAGAAGAATGTGGGAAGTGTGTAATTAGGTGGGTTGGGAGGAGATTGAATGCATCAGTGGTGATAAAACAGCAGGTGCTCTGTGTTTCTCTTCACCTTTTTTTGGTCGATTGTGGGGCTTGAACTGAGCCTGAGCACTGTCCCTCAGCTCTTCAGCTCAAGGTTAGTGCTCTATCTACCACTTGAGCCACAGCACCACTTCTTGCCTTTTTTTTTTTAAGGTCCTTCCCGCATGTCTCCCAAGGCACAGCGGCCTCTGAGAGGTGCTAAGACTCTGTCTTCACCTAACAGTAGGCCTTCCGGAGAAGCTTCTGTTCCACCCCCTGCTGCAGGTAAAAGCTTCATCATGCTGGGTGAAGAAGTGGGTGGAAATTTATACAGAGACAAATAAATAAGGTGGAATGGTGGAAGGAGCAACAGGTTGAAGATAGATGCCGGAGTGGGGAGAAGTTGAGTTTGTCCTATTGGGAAAAGAGTTTCTCCGTTTCCCTAGAGTATAGAAATTCCAACCTAGCAAATGGTGGATTGTATTTGGCTGGCAGATATATTTTGTTTAGATTTTAATTTTTCAGCTTATTAATACAGGAGAAGTCATAGAAATGTCCAATTTCTTTTGAAGTGTAGAAAGTTCTGCCGGCACTGATCCTGCATGATAGCAGCCTTCTGGTCCTTCTGGTGCACATTGAGGCCATTTGCCTCCTTCTGTTATCTGTCTTGGACTTGTAGACTTTGAGTTTGGGCTCCTGGTATAAGAGATGTGTAAGCTTTTAGAAAGTACCCTGTATCCTCTGCTTATTGACCAGCGGTAACCATCGAACAGCTCTCCCTTTTCTTCCAGTGGGACGGATGTATCCCCCACGCTCTCCCAAGTCTGCCGTCCCTGCCCCAATCTCTGCTCCTTGTCCTGAGCCTCCCATTGGCTCGGCAGTAGCAACTTCTGCAGCCTCCATCCCTGTCACGTCAGCTGTGGATCCTGGAGCAGGCTCTATTACCCCAGCTTCTCCGAAGATCTCACTGGCCCCCACAGATGGTAAGAACCAAGACAGTTGAGGGCTGTGGACAATTTTTAATTTGGTTCTGAACAGGAGAACCTTTAGGCATGTCTCTCTCCTCTCCTCAGTAAAAGAACTCCCACCCAAGGAGCCTGGCAGGACCCTGGAGCCCCAGGACCTGGCCCGGATAGCTGGGAAAGGTGAGAATGGTTTACTCCTCTGGAGCCTAATGCTTTTTTGTTTGGGAGAGCATTTCAGTTAGAAGTTCGTTGGCAATTGGAAACAGTTTCTATCAGCCCTTTGACCCTAATTCCTGTTGGAGTTCTCAAGAGCTCTTGTGGTTTTCCTTGGTTTCTTGTCCTCTGGGTTACTAGTCCTGTGAAAAGAATGCATGTTCTATTTTTTTTTGTTGTTGTTCATGAGGCTTGAACTCACTGTCCCTGAGCTTTTCTGCTAAAGGCTAGTGCTCTACCACTTTGAGACACAATTCCACTTCTGGTTTTTTGGTAGCTAATTGGAGATAAGTCTCACAGACTCTTGCTCAAACTGGTTTTGAACTGTGATACTCAGAATCTTTGCTTCCTGAATAACTAGGATTATAGGCATGAGCCACCAGAGCCTGGTTGTGATGTATGTATGTATGTATGTATTATTTTCCTCTTTTTCTCCTAGTTTCTGGCCTTCAAAATGAACAGAAACGATTTCAACTGGAAGAACTAAGGAAGTTTGGGGCCCAGTTCAAGGTGAGCATGGCATGGGAAGGAGCTGGGCTTGGCAGTATGCAGTAGTGTGAGAACTGCATCAGAGGCAAAGTGCCCAGTGGGTAGAAAAGAAAAAGAAGAGCTCAGACTAGGAGGACTGGAGGAGGCAGGGCCTGGGGTCAACTGGACAGTACTCGATGTGTATGTGTCCTCCTCCTTCCAGCTTCAGCCCCCCAGCTCCCCTGAGACCAGCCTGGATCCTTTTTCTCCCCGGATCTTAAAGGAGGAGGCCAAAGGGAAGGAGAAGGAGGTCGATGGTCTATTAACTTCAGAGTCCATGGGGTCTCCAGTCTCCTCGAAGACAGAGTCCGTATCGGATAAAGAAGACAAAGCACCTCTAGCATCAGCAGGAGGCGCTGAGGGTTCGGAGCAGCCTCCACCACCTTGCCCGAGCCAGACTGGCAGCCCCCCAGTGGGCCTTATCAAGGGAGATGACAAAGATGAGGGCCCTGTTGCTGAGTGAGTGCGGCGGGGGCTGGTGGGGGCTGGGTGGTGAAAGGCAGGCCATGAAACTGACGACATTTTCTCTTATAGACAAGTAAAGAAATCAACGTTGAACCCCAACGCCAAGGAGTTTAATCCCACAAAGCCTCTATTATCTGTGGTGAGATAGGAGACATGGGAGAGGTGGGGCGGGAGGGCAGCAGAGGGGAAGCACTCGCTGCCATTGTGCTGGGCTTGCCAGGTGGTGCAAAGGAGCCACTGTGTATGTGTAGGCAGAGGGGTAGCAGAGGTTGGATTGATGAAGAAGAAAGATCTCCAGCACTGGTCATTAAGGGGTCCTGATGAGTCTGTCAGCTATTGGTGGGTTTCTGGTTCCTGGTATTTGGCCCATAAAACATTGGATTGAGGTCATTTGGAGCAACGGCTTTATTTAAGCCAGCTGACATGCCTACGTGACAAGTCACATAGTCTCTCTTCCTGTTTCTTCAGGGTCTGATGTGAGGCTTAATTAAGAATGTGCAGAACACACGTGGCACACAGCCCTGTTACATAGGCAGGACTGAGCTGGGCATGTGGGAGTAAAATGCCCTAACTTGTCTCTTACAGAACAAATCTACCAGTACTCCAACTTCTCCAGGGCCTCGCACTCACTCAACTCCCTCCATCCCGGTGCTGACAGCAGGCCAGAGTGGGCTCTACAGCCCACAGTACATCTCCTACATACCTCAGATCCATATGGGACCAGCTGTGCAGGTAGGAGACATGAGGTTGGCCCAGGGGACTGGTTTCTGAGAGACTGGCTCAGGCCCATTATGGATGTGTGTGTGAGCATGCCCTTCATTTAGCCTCGTCTCTTCTCGTCCCTAGGCACCTCAGATGTATCCGTATCCTGTATCCAATTCAGTGCCTGGGCAGCAGGGCAAGTACCGGGGTGCAAAAGGTGAGCAGGGTCAGGAGGGACAGCCAGTGGGACAGCCTGAGAGCTTCTGGCCGATGGAGCTTGAGCTCTGCTCTATTTGCTTCCCCTGTGCAGGCTCTCTCCCCCCTCAGCGCTCGGACCAACACCAGCCAGCCTCAGCCCCTCCCATGATGCAGGCGGCCGCTGCTGCTGGCCCACCCTTGGTGGCTGCCACACCTTACTCTTCCTACATCCCTTACAATCCGCAGCAGTTCCCCGGCCAGCCTGCAATGATGCAGCCTATGGCCCACTACCCCTCACAGGTGACTGGGGCACAGGAGGAAGAGGAGAGAAGGCAGTGAGCTCTGGGTGGTAGTGGCTAGCCGGGCAGTTGGCTCTGGTGGGGTTCGTGTCTGTTGCAAAGCATTATTGTCATCCTGCATCTTAAATCTTAAATGTAAAGTGACATCTGCATGGCAGAGTTAATGTGAATTTTAGATGAGTAGAGGGAACTGCTGAGCCCCAAGTGGTGCTGGGCACATGGTTACTGAGCAAGTGCTGAGTGCTCTTGTTCTTTGTCCTGCCAGCCGGTGTTTGCCCCCATGCTTCAAAGCAACCAACGTATGCTAACGTCGGGTAGCCACCCCCCGGCCATTGTGTCATCCTCCACTCCTCAGTACCCTTCTGCAGAGCAGCCCACGCCCCAAGCCCTCTATGGTGAGTGCCCCTGCCCTGCCCTGCCCTAGGCTATGTTCCTCACCTCTCTGGTGTGCTCAGCACTCAGTCTCCCTCCTTTCCACTGCAGCCACTGTTCACCAGTCCTATCCACACCATGCCACGCAGCTCCATGCTCACCAGCCGCAGCCGGCCACCACGCCTACTGGGAGCCAGCCGCAGTCCCAGCATGCGGCCCCCAGTCCCGTCCAGGTGCCTGCTGTCAGGGGGTTTGAGTAGTTGGGGCAGAAATGGGTGGCTGGAAGAGAGTGGAGCAGGGTGATTCTCTGGGAGACGGGGTCAGCCAGAGTGTGTGGTACTCATGTTATCTACTCTGTCTTGACAGCATCAGGCGGGACAGGCCCCACACCTGGGCAGTGGACAGCCCCAGCAGAATCTGTACCACCCAGGGGCCCTGACAGGCACGCCACCATCTCTGCCACCGGGACCTTCTGCCCAGTCCCCTCAGAGCAGCTTCCCCCAGCCAGCCGCTGTATATGCCATCCATCCCCACCAGCAGCTGCCCCACGGCTTCACCAACATGGCCCATGTTACCCAGGTAAGAGCCAGGGGACTGCTGCTTCTGGGTCTTTGTCCGAGTGGCTGCACACCCTTGCAGGAGTGCTGCCCACGAGGCTTCCTAGTGCTCCTTGCTGTCCTCTCTCCTCTGCAGGCCCATGTCCAAACTGGAGTCACAGCAGCCCCGCCCCCGCACCCTGGGGCTCCCCACCCACCCCAGGTGATGCTGCTGCACCCCACCCAGGGCCATGGGGGGCCCCCCCAAGGCGCAGTACCCCCGAGTGGGGTACCTGCACTCTCAGCTTCCACACCCTCACCCTATCCCTACATCGGACACCCCCAAGGTGAGCAGCCTGGCCAGGCGCCTGGATTTCCAGGAGGAGCCGATGACAGGATTCGTGAGTTCTCGTTAGCTGGGGGAATTTGGCATGGAAGAGCTGAGGGGCTGCAGGTGGGGCAGGATGCACGGGTTCTGGGTGGGGAGTGAGGGGTCTTGGAGGCAGGGCTGTCCCACAGGGCGCCCGCCGACCTGCACCTGTCTGTGAAGTATGTAGGGTGGGCAGAAGCCACAGTCGCCGCCGCCAGGGGCTTGCTCCTGGCTCTGTCCTTTGCTTCCCTCCGTCCTCGCTCAGTTGTGATCCAGCAGCCCCCCTCCCCACTGCCTCCCCAGCTCTCAGTGACCCCGACTGTCTCCTGACTTAGCCGAGGTAAGGTCAGCGCAGCAGACAGGGCCAGACTGGGGTGTGGGGGGCTGAGCTGGGCACACGAGTAAGGGCTCTGGCTTACTGGGAAACAGCGATTGACCTGTGCTTCTGACCAGCCCCATGAGACACCTTAAGGAGGCCGCTCCTCCCCACTCCTCCCCAGCCCCCCGGACGCATTGATGGAGGGACAGCTGCTCGGGTTCTAATGCTCCTGCTCTCTTCTCTTTCCCCTCCAACCAGTTCAATCTCATCCCTCCCAGCAGCTCCCCTTCCACCCCCCGGGGAACTGAAGATTGTCCTGGCCGCGACCTGAGACCTCCATGAGCGGAGGGAAGAGTGATCTATGTCTCTTCCCCCAGCAGCTCGGACCAGTCCCAGCCCCCCACCCCACCCCCCAAATTCCCCTTTCCCCAGGGGAGCTGGGGAATTCCTGCCAAGCACCTTGAATGGGAGAGACCTTGAAGTGGGCAAGGCCAGGGTCCCGCAGGGGTGGGGGAGGCTCCTGCTCTGCCCCTGCAGTTCCCACCTAACCTTGCCCTCCCATCTTTTCATCTATTCCCCCCGCTGGAGACGGAAGATCTTTTATTTTCTATTATTTATAACTACAAACTTGGGCCCCTCTGTTCTTTTCTTCCCCATTAACTTGAGACCTGCGTGAGAGACAGACAGATGCCCCACAAGGATGGTTGGACAAGGACTTTTACTTTTTACTACATAAAAATATTAAAAAAAATAAAAAAATAAAATTTTAAACTAACTTAACCTGCCTGTTGTTGCTGTTTGTGGACAACCATATGTATGTAATTGTCAGCTGTGATCTTAGGATTACATTTCTTTTCACTTGTTCTTCTCTTCCCTGTAAACCTAGTTTTTTTGTAGGTCTAGGATGAGGGAACCAAAAGGAAAGCGACATAAATTACGACCTGAGCGCTGGCTCACTGGGAGGCAGGTATGTAAGAGCACTTCTGGAGTTAGGACCACCTCTGCTGACTTTGTGACGTTGGAAGTAGTTTTTACTGTAGCTTTAGAGGTCATGGATGTGGGGACAATGTGGGAAAGTAAAGCTGCTAGTGGAGTGTGGGGTAAGGGAACCAGATTTAGGAGGAGTGGGAGCTAAGTTGGAGGCCTAAATTTTTTTTTTTTTTTGCTAGTCTTCGGGCTTGAACTCGAGCTAGTCGCTGTCCCTGAGCTGCTTTCGTTCAAAACTAGTGCTCTGCCATTTGAGCCACAGCACCACTTTGGGCTTTTTCTGTGTGTGGTACTGAAGAATCAAACCCAGGGCCTCATGTGTGCTAGGCAAGCACTCTTGGCACTAAGCTACATTCCCATCCAGGGGCCTACAATATTGAAGCATAGGTTTCTGAGACGATTACCTCACTTGTATAGCTACACAGGTGGTTTTTTTGTTTGTTTTTTGGTTGGTCGTGGGGCTTGAACTCTGGGCTTGGGTGCTGTCCCTGCGCTCTTCAGCTCAAGGCAAGCGCTCTACTGCTTGAGCCACTGGCGCCTGGCTTACACAGGTGTTTTTGTTTTGTTAGTCGTGGGGCTTGAATTCAGCTTGGGCACTGTCCCTGCTCTCTTCAGCTCAAGGCGAGCACTCTACCACTTGAGCCACAGCACCACATCCAGTTTTCTAGTGGTTTATTGGAGATAAGAGTCTCATGGACTTTCCTGCCCAGGCTGGCTTTGAACCAAGATCTTCAGATCTGTCTCTTGAGTAGCTAGGATTACAGGTGTGAGCCACTGGCACCTGGCTACACCGGTGTTTTCAAGGGACAGGGGAATGTTCCTGGCTTGCTTATCCAGTAACATGAAAAGTGGGGCTGCTAAGGTATTTTCTTCTGGACCCATAGTCTGAGGGTGGACAGAAGGGTTCCTTAATTGGGGAAGAATTTCCAGGATGTGAAGCAGGCATGTGGTCAGTTTATTAAGTGAAGGGGCTTTATATGGGCGGGGTTGTAGTAAAAATACTTGATGGGGCTGGAGAGATTCCCAAGCCGGAGCTGCAGATGAAGGTGCCGGTAGGTGCTGTTGAGTAGTTCATCTCTTTGGGGCAGTATCTCAGGTTGGAGGGAAATTTACCAAGTCAGGAATCTTCCCCATGAAACTTTTCATCTTTGCCTTGACCACTTGGGAAGGTAAACCAAACCTGCCCTGCCATTGGGTGGCACTTCCTTCAGGTTCTCATATGCACCTTTTCTGGTTTCTACTGGAGTCGAATGGGGTTTTGTTTCATAAAGTAGCTCCGGGGCAGTTCTGGGTCTGCCAGGACGCAGTCTCAAGGGCCACCCACTAATTCTTTGCTGAGTTGCCCTTGTTTATACTCGGCTTGCTTGTCTAGATTCCTAAGTCTCAATATTTCACTCCCTGCATATTTGATAGTCTTTTTCTCAATCTCAGTAGATACTGAGAAAAATAGAACTTTCTCCCTCCCGCCCGCCCCCATGCTGAGGATGAAACCTCAGGCACACGGGGTAAATGCACCACAGTCGTGCTATACTACAACCCTGCCTTGAAACCAGCTGTCCTTATTCCTGTGCTTAGAAACGTGGCAATCACTTGTCAAGTCCACATTAGCACAACTCGATGGCTGAAGGTGTGTGAGCAAGTACTTTGGTGCCAAGTTAGGAAATGAGCAGGGATCTAGATATGAACTAGTAGGGACTACTGGAGAGGAGAAATGAGTAGTTATATTGCTGCTGTAACTGTTGTTGCTGGTCATGAGGCCTGAACTCGGCCTGGGCGCTGTCCCTCCGCTCTTCAGCTCAAGGCTAGCGCTCTACCACTTGAGCCACAGCCCCACTTCCAGCTTTTTCTGCTTAAGTGGTGCTGAAGAATTGAACCCAGGGCCTCATGCATTCAAGGCAAGCATCTACCACTGAGCCACCTTCCCAGCCCCTGCTATAACTTTTTAAAAATTTCTATCTTTTGTCAGTCATGGGAGCTGAACTCTGCCTGGGCACCGTCCCTCAGCTCTTCAGCTCAAGGCCAGCATTCTACCACTAGAGCCACAGCACCACTTCTGGCTGTTTTCTACTTAACGTGGTGCTGAAGAATTGAACCCAGGACCTCATCCATGTGAGGCAAGCACTCTACCACTGAGCCAACTTCCCAGCCCCTGCTGTAACATTTTGTGAGGCAATCACACATAACTACTGGACTAGGCTCCTTCACGCTGTCCCTGCATTGAGGATAGCAGAGAACAAACTTTTTCAGCCTGTACCACAAATGGATTGCTGGGTGCTAGTGGTTCACACCTGTAAGCTACTCAGGAGGCTGAGATCTGAGGAGTCAAAGCCAGCCTGGGCAGGAAAATCCATGAGACTTCTCTCCAATTAACCACCAGAAAACCAGAAGTGGTGCTAGAGCGCTTGCCTTGAGCTGAAGAGCTGAGGGACAGCACCCAGGCTGAGTAAAACCCCATGACCCACCCACAAATAAGTAAATTCCATTTGAGGTTCTCACCAGCTCTATTCTGTCCAATTTTCACAAAGGACACAAGACAACAACCAGCTTACTATTCACAGAACAGTTTATTGGCCCGCCTCCCGTGGCAGGCCGCCCCTTGTGACCGGGGGAAGTGTCCGTCCAGCTGCACTCTGGGGTTGCAGCCCATGCCCCATGGGCATCGGAAAAGGGAGAAACTGGCCAGGGTTGCCTAAACTCAAGCAGCTTGAGCACAAGTCCAGCCTCAACTCCACTTGATGCTCTTGTCTTCATCGGTCATAGGTTTTGTTTCAGTGACAAGGCCAGTGCCAATAGTCTTGTTGCCATCCCGGAGGGTGAAACGCTGGCCTTTCTCCAAGATCATGGGCTGACGCAAGATTAGGGTGAGCTTCAGGTCCTCTCCAGGCATGGCAAGCTCCTGGAGGGGAGAGAAGACCCAGCACAACCATCAGGTGCTAGCATTCTACCCAGATGCCATGAGCCAAGGGAAAAGGAAAATGCAGCAGGGCGTTGATTCTGTCTAGGGACAGCATCATCCACCCTAGCCACCAGGTACATGCAGACAGCACATTCAAAGAATGGGAACACTGGGTTGGGATCTAGCTTAGTGGTAAAGCACTTGCCTGGCAAGTGCAACGTCTTGGGTTTGATCTCCAGTACAAAAAAAAAAAAAAGGAATGGAACAGTGATTAGTGCTCCTAAGATACATTCTTGTGGAAAGCTTGAGAAATTTTAGGCCAACTTCTGAACCTTCATCACGTTCAGTGAAACTCAACAGGACACTCATGACTTTTATATCCAAACTTTCCTAAGGAATATTTCTACAGAAAAATACTGGTATAGCTAAGCCTCCTACCCCTCATTTGTGCCTAGTGCATGCTGGATAAAGACCCAATCTCCCAACCCCACTGGTCAAAAGCCTTCCTTCTACCAAGTCTACCTCCACCGGTAGCAGCTAGCCTCTCCACACTCAAAGAGAGAACGAACCACTTGGGAGATAACATCTTTGGGCTGAGCTCCTCTGGAGAACACGTCTCTGCCTCTTCACTTTCCCTAAACCCATCGTACCTTCCCAGGAGGCAAGATGACACGACAGGCCATGTCCCAAGTCAGGGAGAACATGACAGGCATGAAGTGGGACACAAAGGGCTTGTGGCGGCCACCTTCCTCCTTGTTGAGGATGTACACCTGGAGGAGAGGAGCAATGAGAGAGGAGCAGAGCTTGGCTCGAAGCCCTCCCTGGAAGACAGCCAGGCTCAGCCCTCCCCATCAGCCTCCGAAGCCCTCACCTGTGCCTCCACCTTCTGGTGGGGCTGGATGGAACCTGGCTTGACCATTACCAGGCCACGCCTCACGTCCTCTCGCTTCAACCCTCGGACCAGGGCCCCAAGGTTATCCCCTGCCTCTGCCCTCTCCAGGCTCTTGTGGAACATCTCGATGCCTATGAGGGGAGAGAAAGAGGAAGGGACATGAAGTGGAGGCAGAGGAAAGGCACAAGGATCGACACGGGGAAAGGTCATCTCGAGGCCAGCCTCTGGGTCCCAAGGCTTCCTATACCTGTCACCACAGTACGAATGTTCTTGCTGTGTCCCAGCAGCTCACATTCATCTCCCTTCTTCAAAATGCCACGCTCCAATGTACCTGTCACCACTGTGCCCCGGCCTGCAAGGAAGGAAGCAGGTCAGGACACTAGGAGCCCTGCCTAGGCTGTGCTATGGGGAGGGATGAGAAGAAGCAGTTCTCACCAGGGATAGAGTAAACAGATTCCACAGGCAACAGGAAAGGCTTCTCTAGGTCCCGGGTGGGCACTGGGATGTAAGTGTCCACAGCATCCAGCAGCTTCTGCACGGACTTCACTCCCAGCTCAGGGTCACGTTGCTGTTGGGAGAAAACGTCAGGACTCTGAAATCTCCATTGTGCTCCTCTCACTGAAAGCTAAATGTGCAGACACGAAGCACAGCTGTGGATGCCCATCTGCCCTCCCACTATCAGCAGCAGTCCTGCCAACTTTGCCTTCACCTCAAGGGCACAGAGAGCAGAGCCTACGATGACTGGGGTCTCTTCCCCTTTGTAGCCAAACTCAGTGAGCAGTTCCCGGATCTCCAGCTCCACAAGCTCCACCATCTCAGAGTCCTGCACTGCATCTGCCTTGTTCACGTACACCACAATATGCTCTACTCCTATCTATTGGAGGGAGAGAGGTAGAGATGGTGTCTAAGAGTCATGCAGCTCCTCGGCCTTCCTTTCCACCCCCACCAAGGCTCTCATACCTGTTTGGCCAGTAGTAAGTGCTCTCGGGTCTGGGGCATGGGGCCGTCATTTGCTGCCACTACCAAGATGCAGCCATCCAAGGGTGCAGTGCCTGTGATCATATTCTGAGAAGGGGAGGAAAGAGCCCTAGCTCAATAACCTCCTCAGCTCAGTATCTACCTAGTTAACTAGAGGAACCGTTAAACACTAACACTGAGGCCCATTTTGGCCACAGCTACAAGTCCTTGATCTCATGTCTAGCCATCTCATCACCCTTCTGCCCGCCCCCCACCCCCCTAGAATTACTTTTGACCCATAGCAGGTTCTGTAAACCCTCACCTTAACATAATCTGCATGGCCTGGGCAGTCTGTGTGGGCATAGTGGCGGGTAGCAGTGCTATACTCCACGTGGGCAGCGTTGATGGTGATGCCCCGAGCTCTCTCTTCTGGGGCATTGTCAATCTCCTCATACTTCTTGAACTTAGCCCCACCTCCCTCTGCTAGAACTAATGAAGGGAAGAAAACACACTTCTCAGATCCCGACCAGAGGTAGAGGCGGGGTTCAGGCCACACCCCTAGATCCCACTAGTGATGTAAAAGGAATAAAGTTGAAAAGCCTCTCTCTAAAATCTCTTAGCTTCCAAGAGATAGTTTAGGGTCAGAAAGAATTATCACAGAACTGGAGGTGTGGCTCAAATGGTAGAGTCCCAGCTTTGAGTGAAATAGCCAAGCAAGAGCACAAGTCCTTGAGTTCAAACCTAGTTTTGCCCCTGACATGTGTGTGTGTGCACACACACACACGTGTACACACACACACACACACACAATTATCAGGTCTGGAGCTACAAATGTGGCCCAAGTAGTAAAGCACCTGCCCTAGCAAGTGCAAGGTCCTGATTTCAAATCCCAGTACCGGAGCTGGAAGTGAGGTACTTCAAGTGGCAAAATGCCAGCCTAGAAAGCTCTGGACTCTTTTTGAAGTTGAAAGCCTATTGCTGCCCCTCCTCCCCTCCAAATTAAGCCTCGGTAAGGGGCGGGAGGGGGGGGGGAGTGTTCAGAGGATCTTAAGGGCCTGCCCAAGAGGCCTCCCCGAGGAAGCCATTTAGGGTCTCCCAGTGTATGCGTAACAGGAAGAATCTGTCAACAGCATCTTCGGAATCGCCCCCGTCCCCCAAGCGCCCCGCCTCCTGGGACCGTTCTGAACGTCCCCCGCATTCCGCCGGCCCCGGCCCCGGGAGCCTCCCGCGCCCCCCACCCCGGCCCGGCCCGGCCCGGCCCGGGCTCCCGCGGCTCTAGGGGCGTGGCCGGACCCTCGCTCACTTTTGGTGATGGCGGCGGTCAGGGTGGTCTTGCCGTGGTCCACATGGCCGATGGTGCCCACGTTCACGTGAGGTTTGTCGCGCACGTAGGCCTTCTTGGCTTCCACGGCCAGGCCCCGACACAAGAGGGGCCAGGCCGGGGTCCTCAGCGGCCGCAGCAGCCCGTGCGGCCACGGGGTGGGACTGGCGCGGAGACCTGCCGGGACAGAGGCGCGGCGTTAGAGCGCGGGCTGGAGCTCGGCTGCCCGCCATGGTCCTCCGGGTCCCTCCGGGCCACCATCTCTCTCACCGCTAAGGCGGGGCGTCGCGCGCAGCAGAGTGGCGGCCGCCATTGTGGCCATGCTCGGCCACAGGACCCGAGTACTGGACACCGGGCACCCGCGCGTGCGACAGAGGAAGGGCACCTGGGGGATGGAAGGCAACTTCCGGCGGAAGTCGTCCTGGAGGGTGACACTGGGTCACTCTAGCCTGGGATTTCTATGGTCGTGTCCACTGACTTCCGGGTGCGGAGCGGAAGAGGCTGGTGCTGCGGCCTCGTGGGCGGGGCGGGAGGCCACGTTTCCGCCTTCGCCGCGGCTTCTGGGGGGCTCAGAGGGTCCGTCACGTAGTCCGCCGCCTCCCTCTGAGAGGCCGCCGGGCCCGTCCCTCGCATGGCGCATCATACGGGCACGTAGGGGGAGGTCCTGGCTTCGGGGCGGCGGGTCCGCCGGCAGCGCAGGTTGTTCGGGATCGTCTGTCGAGGATCTGGCCGAGAGAGGCCTCGGGCCGCCCCTGAGCCGCAGCCCGAGGTAGGCCCGGGCCCTGGATGCCGTCCAGTGGGCCCTCGTGCGAGCGGCGTCTCCTCGCGAAGCCTGTGCCTGTACAGGCGTAAAATGGAGATCCGGCGTCTGAGAGGGCATGCGCTCGGGCAGGAGTCAGGGATGGGGTGCTAGGACTTCTGTCAGCCATCAAACTCATCCTCCTCGCCCTTGCGGGGACCCCCGGCTGTCTGACTTCAGAGTCAGCCCCCGGGCCAGCTCTGTGCCACCCTACCCAGAACCCTTTTGAATTCCTCACCCATTTAATTATGCAGATACAGAAAATTTAAAGGGCAGCCCGTGCCTTTTAATCTTGCTCTATCCCCAGCACCTAACAGGGTTGGGCGTGCAGTGAGTGCCAATAAATGTCTTTTGGCCGAGTAAATAACCTTTATAACTTTGACACATCTCTTATCACAGCTTCCTGATCTGATCATAGCAGCTGCTCAGTTCTCAAACTGACTTCCTCCGACTCATTTAACTCTGTTGGGGCTGGATGCCAGTGCCTGTAATCCTAGCTACTCTGGAGGCTGAGATCTGAGGATCAACATTCAAAACTAACCTGAGCAGAAAAGTTTGTGAGACTCTTACCTCCAATTAGCTAGCAGAAAGCTGGAAGTCGGACTGTGGCTCAATTAGAGCACCAGCTTAGAGTGAAAAAGCTAAAGAACAGTCAGTTCCCAGGCCCCGAGTTCAAGTCCCAGGACCAGTACAGGAAAGAAGTGAAAGGAGAAAAGGAAAGAAGAAAGTGTTTATCCATATACTGTAGGTTCCTGTTCCTTCCCTAGAGATGATCGTTTAGTGAGCTAGGGACAGTCATGGAAACGAAAAATAATACGTTATTCTAAGACTCGAAGGAGCAGGTATGATGGTATAAGCATGTAAATCCAGCACTCAGGAGGCTGAGGCAGAAGGGAGGGCAGCCTAGGCCACATAGGCATGGTCATGTGTTTTTTGTTTGGTTTGGTCAGTTGTAGGGCTTGAACTCTGGGCCTGAGCACTGTACCTGACAAGACTAGTGCTTCTACCACTTGAGCCACAACTCCACATCTGGTTTTCTGGTGGTTAATTGGAGATAAGAGTCTCACAGCTGTTCCTGCTCAGGCTGGCTTTGAACTGTGATCCTCAGATCTGAGCCTTCTGAGTAGCTAGGATTACAGGTATGAGCCACCAGTGCCCATGTATTTTTTTGATACATGCTTTTGCAAATCTAAACACTCCCAAGGAGTTGGGAAGAGTCTTATGTGTCAGGCATTAGTTGTAAGAGGAGTGTTCCCAATGCTTTCCTGTGGTAGGATCTAATATTTCCCCCATTTTACAGCTAAGAAAATTGAGTGTCAGGGTGGTTAAGCCCCCAAAGTGTGCGTCTTAGCACTACACTATAATTTTTGCATGTGTGTGGTGCTAAAGATTGAACCTTGTGCATGCTAGGCATACATTCTACCATGGAGCTACAGTTTGTGCTGTAATTTAACGATCATGTTATTGCTCAAGTAAAGTGGAAGGTTTGCCAAGACTCCCTCAACCCATCAGTTCTGCTTAGGAAGGGCTGATAAAGTATAAAAACATTCTCTTTGCTTCCATGTTGGACCTTTGTCACTCCAGTCCTGGTGATGTGATCACCTGCAATCCTAGTACTTAGGAGTTGAAGGCAGAAAGATTGTGTGTTCAATTCTACACAATAAGATCTCTATCTCCAAAAGGAAAAAAAAAAAAAAAGATGGGAGTTTTCCAGGGTGGTATTTGAAGTAATGCTATCCATGTTAGTGATAGTGTGTTTATTTTTGTATATATCAATTTGGAAGGGGAAAAAAAACTGGATAAGCAAATGTCAGTTTAAAAAATGAGTAAGCTTATGGTGCCAGTGGGACATACTTGTAATCTTGGCTACTTGGGAGGATGAGAATGGGGTTATCACAGTTGGAGGCCAGTCTCAGCAGAGAGATCTTGGAGGCACCATCTAGTGGACATTGGTCATCTCAAGCCTAATTAGGGCTGATGTGTGCCCAGGCAAGAAGTGAGACCCTATATGACAAATAACTAGCACCAAAAATTGGCTGGATGTCTCAAGAGACAGAGTTCCAGTGTAGCAGGTGCTAGGTCCTGAGTTCAAATCCCAGAACCACCAAAAGGAGAAAGATTGATTTTGATCATTCTCATCCTAAAGATGACTCCCTTTCAGTATATGGATGGTATTAATTTCCTAGTAAACTTTCCTGTCACTAAAAAAATCAAAACAAAAACATGACAACACATAAAGCTGGGCACCAGTGGTTCATAGTTAGGCTGAGGGAGGTCTGAGTATCACAAGTTAAGGCCAGCTCAGGCAGACAAATCCAAGAATCTCTATCCCCAGTTAACCAGCAGAAAACTAGGACTGGAGACACAGCTGAAGTGGCAGAGCACTAGCTTTGAGCAGAAAAAGCTGAGCCAGAGCACAGGGTCTTAAAATCAATACTTAATGCTGGCACATGCAGACACACACACACACATAATAAAACAACAGGATTTAGGCTCATGTAACAGCTATTGCTAATGTACTAAAGTCACTTACGTATTAGGTAGTTTCCACTTCCCCCACCCTCAGTGCCTCAACATGGTATGTCTCACGGGAGCACCTTGGTTCACATGGCCATGTTCTGGGAAAGGGGAGGCAGAGAGACCCAATTGTAACTTTGACACGGAGGCTTGCCTCAGGTGTAGAAAATCTCTTAATGTCTGGGTGCTGGTGGCTCACACCTGTAATCTTAGCTATTCAGAAGGCTGAGATCTGAGGATCTCGGTTCAAAGCCAGCCTGGGCAGAAAAGTCCATGACACTCATATCACCAGTAAATTGCTCAGAAAGAGACAGAAGTGGTGCATGGCTCAAGTGGTAGAGCACTAGCCTTGCACAAAAGAAGGTGAGGGACAGTGCCTAAGCCCTGAGTTCAAGCTCCAGGACTGGCAAAAAAAAAAAAAAGAAAATGTCTGGCCATACCTGTAACAGTGACAGTGGGACAAATAGGATGTGTTGATGGATAGGTTTTCTTACTTGGTATACCTATGGGTGAAATTTAAATTGGATAGGTTCGGAGGTACTGGGACCTGAAAAGCTGGGCACCTATGAAAACATTGGTGAGCTAAGGCTGACTGCTGTACAAAACCGTCTGTGTATAAGGTGGAGGTGAAAGTGTAGTAACAAGCCTGGTGCTGGTGGCTCACGCCTGTAATCCTGGCTACTCAAGAAGCTGAGATCTGAGGATCTCGGTTCAAAGCCAGCCCAGGCAGGAAAGTCAGTGACACTCTTTATCTCCAATTAACCACCAGTGGTGCTGTGGTTCAAGTAGTAGAGTGCTAGCCTTGAGCTGAAGGATGTACAGACAGCACCCAAGCCCAGAGTTCAAACTCCATGACTGACCAAAAAAAAAAAGAAAGCAAAAAGAAGGTGTAGTAACAAAGGAAGTTGAAAATAATTGTGACTGTGTATGAAGTGGTGCATACTTTTAGTCCCAGCCCTTGGCAGGCTTAGGCAAGAGGAGTTCCAGACTAGCCTGGGCCACCTAATGAGACTGTCTCTAAAAAAGTAAAATGAAAACAAAGTAAAATCAAAACAAAAAAAATTGTAACTTCAGAAGGTTGAGTTTGCTTGGAAGAAGGAATTTTTCCTTCAAACATCTTTTATCTTCTTAGATTTGTGTGTGTGTGTGTGTGTGTGTGTGTGTGTGTGTGTGCCTGTCTTGGGGCTTGAAGTCAAGGCCTGGGTTCTGACCCTGAGCTTTTGTGCTCAAGCACTCTACCACTTGAGTCACAGCTCTACTTTAGGTTTTTTTGGTGGTTAATTGGAGAGTAGAGTCACATGAACTTTACTGCCAGGGTTGACTTTGAACTGCAATGATCACATCTCAGCCTCCTGAGTAACTAGGAGCCTGGCCTTGTCTTGGTTTTTGGAGCTAGTCTCCTAGGCTATGTAGGGCTCCTCCCTCAACCTCCCAAGTGCTGAGATTACAGGCTGAGACCACCACACCCTGCTTTCAAACTGATTTTATATAATTACAGCTAAAGAAAAGTCCTTTGTGCAGATGCTTGAACTCCTTTTGAAATACGTCGAATGGTTGCCTGCATGCCAGCTGTCCATTTCTTCTGCTGTGTGGCAGAAGCTTAGCTCTTACTCACAGAAGTGTTCCCATCTCTGCTGGCAGGGTCCTGATTTTGCTTGGGGTGGATTATGTCTAGTTCAGTTCTGGTGATTTTCTTGCCAAGGGTTTGTTCAGCGATAGGTGTGTACTTTAGGGGGCCAGTGATTGGAAAGGGACCTACTTGGGGACACTGCCAAGAAAGGAGACCCGAAGAAATGGAGCTCTTACTGACTCTGGATGGGGAAGCGGAAAGGGCCATTTTGCTGCTTGAAGAAGAGCCTTTCCTGAAATAGGGTATTGGTGGCTCATACCTGTAATTGTAGCTACTCAGGAAGTAGTGTATGAAAGACTCCCATCTCAACTGAAAAAGGCCAAGTGTGGTGGTTTGCATCTTCCATCCCTGCAATGGCAGGAAGCATAAATAGGTGGATCACAGTCCAAGCCGACTTGGGCAAAAAGTAAGACTCTAGTGTGAGAACCAGAGGGACGGGAAGTCCTGCCCCAGGC